TCATTTCCTAAATATGTTGTTGTTATTTTTATTGTTATTAATATTATGTGCTGACCCTTGACTATTATTCTGCATTAAAATGCAGTCAGGATATATGTCTTCCACGGCAGGAGAACTTACATATTATCACCAGGAAAAAAAATTCTTGTGTCAGGGTCTGATCCAAAATCTACTAAAGTTAATAGAAAGACTCCCATTAACTTTAGTAGATTTTGGATCTGGCTCAGAATAAAGAAGTGATACAATGAAGCTGATATTTTATGAATAACTTCTATTATTTGACCAGCCCAATTTTACACTACACTAGGAGTTCATTATTGAAAAGAAGCCTTTTGTGTGAGAACTTTAAAATGTATCCTTGAGTGAAGAGACACACAAAACACAGAGACTATTGTCTTACGGGGTGCTTTTATTAAGCAGTTCCAGCCGAAAGGTGTATGCCTATTTTTAAAAGAAATTTTCTGATTGTAGATAACGGCTCAATTTGATTTAGTGTCGAATGATAGTGATGGGGTTGATAACTGAGCATTCATCGGTAATTCATCTTGTGCTAGTAGAAATTTACAGCAAAGCAGTGCTTTCCCAACACTGACAAGTCCTATTAATCTTCTTCAGACACATTTCAATAGGTGTCTCCATCTGTGCCCAACATCTAAACACTCTGGCATCACTAGGGACTTTGAGACACCTTCATTTCAGGTTACACTAGTGAAAATGTGATACTAGATTGCACTCTATTTTTTAACCTAATTCTCTCTTTTCATTCAATTAGCCTTTCATGCCTACATTTTTCAACTTATGTGTAATACCCTTTTTCCCAGAAAGAGCTTAAATGGAGATTTTATGTCTTATAGACACAAACTATACTATGTTGATAGTAACCTAAAACTTAAACTTTTAAAACAACATAATATGGTACATAGTTGCGGTGGAACTGGAGATACTGTCCGCAATGTATATTCTGTATAGCATGCCCACAAGGCAAAATATATCTGTCATAATACAGCTCTTACAAGCATTATTAGGCCTGAGTAGAGGAAGGACTGAAATCAAATTTATTCTTTTTCCAGTTTACCAGTTTTTAAAATGGTTCCTTGCACAGCACTTGTTTGAAATCCACTACCCAGTATCCATGTGTGTCCAACTATATACAGATTAAAACTATGTAACACATCTTGCTTTACATGTATAATAATGCATAGACAAACATTCCACAGTCAAATTAGAACAGTAACATTTAAGGATGTATTATGCTCAAACTTTCTTGCTTGTTATTAAAAAGAAAATTAATTTCCGAACCATGTGGGCAAGTCATAGTGCAAACTGAACGTGAATTTCACTTCCAAGCCGAATATTGTTAGCTTCACTTTCAAACCTGCAATGAGTTCATTAAGAAAGGCAGCGTAGCTTTAAAGATTATTCATTTTAAAAAACAGCCTCTTATTCCATATAGACATTTTGGTTATGTGTTAATAGAAAAGCTGAAGATACTTCCTTAATTTTGATAAATCATATTGATTTCTCAGTAGCTGCTTCCGTTTCCACAAAAATCTTGTAGTGAACTTTCTCCTTACAAGATCCAAATAATGAGTAATATGCATAAATAGGTAGCAGCATTCCAGAATTAAGACAGAGTCTTAGACTTCTTTGCTTCTATGAAGTTCTCTAAAACCATCCTGTGAGTCATGTTATAGATCTAAATGACCTTATTGTAGGTGGCAAGTTTAAATGTGCCATATTAATAACTTGTTATCCAAGACAAATTAAGTCCTTATGTGTCAAAAGCACTCTGCTCTGGATTACCTACAAGACAAGTATTTATTGAATAAACGTTGGATCCAATTTCATTTTAATGTGACTGACTGTATGCTTCAGCCTTTTAGAATGAGATAAAAACATTCAAACCTATAACTCTGTTGCAACATTACACCTAACTTGTCTATTTCTATTATTGTCTCTTTAAAGAGAAATAGGGAAAGCGTTTTTTGTTTAGTTTTGTTTTAAAGGTTTTATTATTATTATCATTCTGAAGAGCAAGGGGAGAGATAGAAAAAAGGCTGGCATTCAGCCTAAAGAGAAATCATTGAAACAAATTAATCCTATGCCGTTTAAATTGACATGGTAATCCATCATCAGCAAAGGCAAACTCTGAAAGCAATCTAGAATCTGCAGTGTTCTTTCACTGGCCCTGAGGCACAAAGACAGATAGTAAAAGAGGAGGAAAAAATCATAAAAGTTAGCAATGCCTTGGAAGGGGGGGGGGTGGAGGGGAGAAGAAACAGCTTTCACTTTTCCTGCTTCTAAATATCCAGTTCAGAAAAGAATCCTGATTAACCTTCAACAGTTGTTACCAAGCTGAGTGTCAAGTAATCTTCAACTGCAAAGCACCCGAGTGTTTTGCATAGAGTGGACATCCTTTATAAACTCTAACATCCAGAACTATATCCAACACCAACTTTGGAAACTCTTTCTACTTGTGCCTTATATCAGCCTAAACTTAGTTATTCCAAAAGGATAAAATTATATCCTTCCTTCATAACATTGTACAAGCAAAGAAATGTAATAGTCATGATTTGCAAACAGTTGATGGAAAAGGCTGGTTTGTGAATCTAGTCCATACCCTGTCTGTACAGGATTGTGTACTAAACTATATATTTCCTTGGGCTTTGTCTAGTCTAATATTTAATATCTGTAGTGACTGGAGCCTTTTACATTTTTAAATCTTTAGGACACGTGGTGCAAGGGAACGATTTACAGGTGTCAGGCCTTAGAAACCATTTGTCCTGAAGTTGCTATTATCATGATATCAAGTCATCTACAACCAATCCAGAACTGAGCTATCTAAGAATAGCTTCCACTGCTCTTCCTTTTCTTTTAAGCTAACAGATCCATTACTTTTGTCCAAAGCTTCTCCTTGCTAGCTGGGTCTACTTATCCAAACAGTAGAATGTATGTTATTGAATTAATACTTTGAATTTTAGAGAATAAAATAACATAAAATAAAAACATAAATCCAGGGAAAGAATACTACTTTAGAGTTAGAAACCAATATAATATGAAGAATAAGTCAGACAAATTGTGCCAAAGGCAAAGGGGTGTAAGGCTGGATAATCTGAACCATATCCAACATCTGCCTTATTTTAATTTAGCTGGGATAAAGTTTGTTCTTGATTATTATTAAGAAAACTTTATGATGTAGAGAATACCATGAGCAATGTTACCAAACTGTTTTATTGGTGTATGACATATTGTATTGTTACGGGGTGGTGGGTTATTTTAAATTCCCTTCTCACTCTAAAGCAACCCAGTTCTCAGATTCAGCTCTCTGAGATGCCCGTTTCATCTCTCTATGAAGCACTGCAACTGGATCTGAAACACATACAGGAGGTTAACTGCTCAGAGTTGATTAAAATTATTAAATTTTAGGAGAAGAACTTTGACGTTTAAAAGTTCCAAAATGACATTTGCAAGTCATTGTCGGAGATATTTGCTGGATACAAGTGGCAAAGAATGTCTGAAGTAAACAATTGTATTCTGCATAACATAAATTGCTCATATGAGAAGTGATCTCGCCCAATTTGTGAATTTATTTTCCTTCTCTGTAGCAAGAATTATTAGATTTAATAACAAAAGATCCTATAATATAAAAGAGATAATTATAGAGACTAGAGTAACTCCATTGATTTCAACTAACTGGTCTGTGTCTGAGGAAGGTTGAATACTTAAGTATATCAAAGGTTGGGATGTGATTGAAACCATAACATTTGTATAAGCACAAATATATTTAAAATCCAAAATAGGGTTATTTCATTATCAGCTAATATTTAGATCAACATTAAATACTGCAGCTAGAAGTAAACTTTCTTGTATTTATTTCTTATTAAAACCTAAAACTGATCCTAGTTTTTAAAATTTGTTCTTCCTGACACTTGATATAAGGCAAGCTTGTCAAGAAATGCCATGCCTGCTATTTTTCCCCTGTTTGCAGGTATCCCCTTGCTTTAATGATTTCAGTTTAGCTTTAACTCTTTAACATGATACAATCTTATCCTATTTACCTTAGACACATAGGATTTTTATAAGGCTGATTGATTTCTTATAAATAGAAATTAGCCTTTTGTACAAAACTAGCACCATTTAAAATAATATCTGCAAAAGTAAAGGAGCAAATGTGAAGAAATGTATACATAGATTGATTGGCAGCTGATTCTTAAACACTCACTACAGAGAAGGATTTCACTGTTTTGTAAAATAGCTCATCTTAATTCAATTCAGAAGGCAGAGTCTAAAATATGCACTTAAAATATTTCCAAAAAAGCTATTCAGTCTTTCAGAGGAGGGGGAGTTTTAATTATGAGGCTATAAATATGCAATTGATTAAAAAAAACTCCTAAATTCATATGTTATTTTATTCAGCTGTGGTTGTGTGTATACATCTGTCCATCCCTGTCTACGCTTATTGGGTATGTCTGATAGATGTATTTCTATTTATGAAATGCCTAATGCAGGCCCTAAAATGTAGTAACTGCTTCCCTAAATAATCTATTTCTGCTTTCAGAAAAAAAAACCTTAGAATTTTGATAAATAACAGTATAGATCAGTTTTCCTTTTTGTATTTGATAAGAATGTTATTTTAAAAGCTGAATATTTAAAATTTATATCATTGCATACTTTCAGCTGCCTAAGATTCTGCTAATTATTTTTGGACTTGTCTCTTAAAATCACAAGCCACTATCAGGATTTCACTATTAAGTCTGTTGGAAGGAAGACAAATAAAATAGAATGCAATGATTACTATTATTGGGGGTGATTACAATTTTGTTTTTAATTTTTGCTTGACAGAATTATGGATAAAATATAGTTTTATTCTAAAATCAGAGCTTATTGAATAGACAAGAGATGATGCAGTTATCATTCATATTTTTGGACATTCCAGCTATTATTTTGTTAATTTGAAAATAAAATACATGCACACAGAAATCATATATAAACATACTTACCAAAAATGCATCTGTCTCAGCAGTTAGCATATTTATGTCTTCACACTAGGAAAAAAACAAACAAGCGAACAAACACTAAAAACAATTCAAATGTATAGGTGAGGATTTGTATATGACAAGTACTGTGTGGAATATGCAGAAACCTGTAAACAATTTCATTGCTTAAAAAGTAGTTTGATAGCATACAAAGATACAATTCAATATCATGTTAAAAGGTTTAAGAATAGAGACTATGAAGCAAAAATGCAAAGCTTCTACCATCTTGTTTTGTGTGTAAATTTGTGTAGAGGCATATAGGTACAATTTGGGAGTTATTAACTTTCAACATCAGTTATGACTCTTAAATCAATCCATTGTAACTCCCTATTAAAATATCAGCCAGGTGTACTAGCAGGCAAATATATTTTGAGACTCATTTCTAGATTTTTTTCTTTAAAAGTTGTGCTTGACTAAGGAGAGGGATCTAAAGTGATTGTTCTAGAGCTGATAAATATAGTTTCCTTTTTGCAATGACTGACATTTTTAGAATACTTCATTTATTCTGCATTTTAAAAGTAGTGAAAATGAAAATCTGCAATTAAGTAAATAAAATATTGCTTTACAAAAGTGTATATATTGATAAACTTTATGCATGTGTGTGTGTGTGTGTGTGTGTGTGTGTGTGTGTGTGTATACATGGGTGCATAGACAGGCAAAATAGTTCATCTTTCCATTTCCATTTTCCTTCGTATTAGAGAAAAAAATGGAAAAGGAAGGAACAGATATGTTCTTAAACCTGGCAGCCACACTGCATCTAACGCTACTGCAATCGCCTTTCTTCCCTAGCATCTCTCTCACACACACATACACACCCTTCAGATTAGCGTAGTTAACCTTGGCTCTGTGCTGGAGCGGGAAGGGTTAATGAAACCAAGCTCTTTACGACCTGGAAGGTCAGACTCTTCCTATCTGCAATCTAAGGAATTAGGTAAAGAGGTTATAAGATTATAGTGAGAGGCGTTATAGGCCCTCCTAGCCTCACACCTGAACATATTGGTCTAATCCACTGGGATTCTTAAAAATCGCTTCAGCTATGGAAAACTGTTAATTAGGCTGAGTCTATCCTGAGGTTTCCTGTTGCATTAGTGATCCAACAGGGCAGTACGAACCCCGTAGCCTTACATGAAATTCATCTAATATACCCCCCTTTCTTCCCCCTCCCCCTGAATTATAATATCAGCAGCCATTTATTTAGGGAGAAAATAGCGTATGGGTTAAAGGCATACAAAGGAATTCAAAGCCTTTTTCTCGGTCACCTTTTAAGTATTAATAACTAGTTGCCTATTTGTAGTTGTTTCTAACTTCAGTGTTTGTAGCAAAATTAGCACTCGGAGAAGTAAAGATGCATATTCCCATCAGCTCTGCTCTTGGATTCCTAGTTCGAGATTCCTTTCATTCTTCTCAGAAAATAGCATCCTTCGAGCTGCTTCTAAACTTTCCCTCGGTCGTAAGGACTTAGTTTTATTCAATTACATCTTATGTCTCCCCTCCCCCACCCCTCAAGAAAGGATATTCACTGCAGCTTGTCCCTTCAATATCGCGAAAATAACCTTTATTCTGTGCAAAAAAAAAATCACCAGACTCTCTAAATATTCTATGTTAACGTTGATTGGCAGAGTCATTGTCAATTTCTAGCTTTATGTACTTTGCTACTTAGCATGACTGCCTGAAGCAGGGTTGTATGTAACCTACCGCCACACATCAATTGATATTATTATACCTGAGACAGAACTGAATAGTCCTCTACAAACTGCTGGAGTTAAAGACCCTGCATTAGAATCCCTATCCGAATTACAATACGAAGTGCAGAGCAGTGTTTAACCATGTTGTCATTTTCAGAAGTGCTGCTTTTTTATGCCATTTGTGGTTACCTTAGAAATAGATTACATACTAGAAGAGCTGTTATTACGGTTTCAAATTATGTGCTTAAACACTAAACTCTCTTTTATTCGCCGTTTATTTTAGGGGATGGGAACACACTCGTGTAAGTTGATTTAAAATCTCACGGCCGTGGTGAATTTACTGTCGCTGCTGTTGTTAAGGGTATTCCTGCCTGATGGAGAGAGATAACTGAAGTCCCTTCAACTTGATCTCAAAGTCTGACCATCATTTACTCCAGCCCTCTCTTTTCCATTCTGGCAGCACGTCTTTTGTCATCATATTCTCGTGGTTTCAGTCATTGCTTTGTATGTGGGTGGGGAAAACTTATATATCATTCTCCTATTTTTTTTCCTGATAGAATGTATATTCTCTTGTTTCTCTCCTTCATGTGTGTTCCTACTTCCTCTGTCTACCTGATGGGATCGTTTTAGAAATGTGGGTCTAATTCTTCTGCCTACCTTCTTCGGTCTGATTAGGTATTATTTTTCATTGGTTCTGCTACAATAGGGTCCTCCCTTTAATCTCCCGATTTTTTTTTCTCTTTTCCCCATCCCGGTATAACCAAATCCATGAAATTCACAGCCTCTCTCTTTGACACTACTGGGTCGCCTAATCACTTCGTATCGATTTCCCTAACTCTTTTCATCCAGCTGAAGACACATCTTAAAACACTCCAAGGCAGAGTGTGCTCTTTGCTTTATACACACTAATAAAATGATTTACCCTTCTCTCTCTGCTCTCCTCACAGGAGAAAATCGTTCAAGTCCCGGCTATTTGTGTGTGATCAGTAAATATTTAGTGTGGTGACATCTTCAGCTCCTCTCCTGATCAATACCCAACCCAACAGGAGGTGGACTATTTTCCGGGAGGAGACTTGCCGAGAGCTCCCTTAGATGAGTTCTTTGCTTCTCCTACAGTATGTTATGATTTGTCCTCAAATGTACCCAGTAAAGAGAGAAATAGAGGGTTTTAATCGGTCTGTTCTCAACCTGTTTACTTTGACATTAAACCACCTACCATCACCAGATCTCCCCTCTCCCTGTGATGTTCTACACACTTCTAAGGGGCAGCAGTAAAATGAATCGCAAGCAAGCCAGCGGTCACAATCCATGGGCCATTCTGTACCCCCTTTTTCCTCTCTCCTCGCTTTGCAATGCAGTGTCGAGAGATGGGGGGGCCGTAGGTGAGGGTCTGTCTCACGTGTGCGGGATATTCGCTGTTAGGGTTTCACTCTCGCAAAGTCATGCTCCGCGTGTTGGTTCGGAAGTCCCTGGAATACAAGGTGCCTCAAGAACTTCACATATATCCCTACACTTCTATTAGCAATCTGAGGCTTTATCTCCCCTCCTCCACACACACACACACACATTCACACCCTTGTAATAGGTTATAATGAGTCAGGACTGGAGTAGGGAAACTGCCTTTAAAACAATTAACAATGGACTAGACCTTACACCCCATTTCTAAAACCATCCACGTTGGAGGGCTTTCTCTAGGCACGAAAATGGACAGAAAGAGGAATTCACGAGTGTACTTCTCCTGATGTTATTTCATTCCAGGGAAAACCCGTGCCTGGCATGTGAAATATTTTCTGTGGTAAATGGCTATGTGTGTATACTGACCTATGGGTGTATGTGTATACACGTATGTCTAAAATAGAATACATGGATGCAACGTTATATATTATATCCATTATGCATGTATTTGTGTTCCATATTTTATACACAGATATTTCTCTCTATCAGTATGTGTATTTAATCATCTGTCTATATATCACTTATAGACAGATGACTAAATGTGCCCACATATAGAGAAATAGCTGTGTATAAAATATGGATCACATAAACATATATTGTATACACCGAGATAGATAGATAGATCTCTCTATATATGTATATGTGTTTGTGATCCATATTTTAGTGTATATATGTGTGTGTGTATAACATATGTGCGGTGTACTGTAATTAAATATTCTACTATACAAACGACTACATCCACCTGTTAACTTTGTTTATAAACCACTTTAACTAATAGCTTTTAACTAATTTATCCAATCTCTTATTCAGGTAAAGGAGACGACTGGGGCAGAGAGGGAATCCATATCAAAAGGTGTTACACCCTCTCTGTCGGAGGAACTTTACACATCTTGTATAGAGCGATTATCTCCAGAATATATCTTTATACTAATGCATACTTAATTGGTCTGTCTTGACTGTCCATATAAAACAATTTAATTAGGGTGCTTTCTGCTTTGGAAAGAAGAAAAAAATCTGCCCAGCATTTATTGTATTTAGCACCAATACAGGCAGAAAATGTTGCACAAGTTTTTGGTTGAAAGAGCACCTATGTGTCCATTGAAGGGCGTTGATCCGAAAAGACAGAGAGGACAAGTAAAATCGATTTGAAGCGACCCTCTCTGTCCCTTTCACACCATTCAGACACTCCATTCCTTCTAAGACAAAGCCCTATAGCGCCTTGGGAATGCTGACAAAAAAAGAAGGCTCCAATCCCACAACCAAATGGAGCTCTCTGAAAAATTCCTTGATATTGCTGCTATTTTTTTAAATGATAAAGCCCAAGATAGTCTCACCCAGCGTCTAACATTTCTCC